AAGGGAGGAGATACACAGCCTGAGCATCCAGACGTGGGGAAGAAGACTCGGGCTTCCCCATCGGAATCAGCCTATAAAAACATCCTGCCTAAGAGAATGGATTTGCCCATCAACAGAGGAAGTGACTCCAAAATTTAGGAAAAGGTCTCAAGTAGCTAAGGAATGTTTTTTAGGGTATCGGAAATGATGGCTGGGACTCGGGACAACATTCACTAGGTGCCGGCCTGGGGTTAAAAACTTACACGAATTATCTCATTTAATCTGCAAACACCTGAGGTGGCACTATCATTACCCCCAGTTTTGCAACTGAAAAAACTGAGGCTCAAGAGATGTAATAACTTTGCCCAAAGTCACAAACCCAAGTTTCTCTGACTCCAGATTCTGAGCTGAGACTGTAGCTCAAACCATCCAGTTCCCTTTCTTCTGGCACGCGGTGTGCAATGAGGGGGTAATGATCCCATATCTTCATAAAGGGACCATAAAGATCATCTGCTCCAGCCTCTTTACAGAGGAGGAAATGGTCTCAGGGGGATAAAGGAACTTGTTCCCCAAGTCGCACAGAGCCAGAGGCCGCTCTGCAACGCTATCACAAGGTGCCCCAGAATTCCGGCCCAAGCCGCATTGACAGAGGGGGGACTGAAGCCCCGAGCTGTGAGCCCCGGGTCCCGGATCCGTGACAGGCAGAGCCCGCTCCAGCCCCAGGCGCGCTCGCTGCCCCGCCCCGCTAGCGCTCCGGTCCACGTCCACCTGCGGCGCCAACCATTCCGCGCGCGCGCCCCGGGAGTACCTGTCGGCGGCGCGCAGACTCTCGGCCGGGGACCGGGCGCTGGCGCGAAGCGAGCGGGGCTGCGCGGGCCAGAGGCGGACACTGGCCTCGCCAACCAAGGCCTCCCCGGGCCACCTAGCCTCAGAACGCCGAGGCCCCGGGAGCGCGCGGACGCCCGGAGGCCGAGAATTTGGGAGCGCTGGTCCCGGGAGGCAGAGTCGCCTGGCTTCCTCCCCTCAAGCCCCCTGCTCTGACCCTCAACTGTCTGCAGACCCCGTCCTAGCTCGAGGGCACCTGAGGGGGAGCAACACCCACGCGGTCCGCAGAGTCAAGCAGCTGGGACCCTTGGGCGCGAGGTTCCCTTGGAAACGAGAGAGAGAGGCTCTTCGCGCCTGCGCCTAGGCGCTAGGCACGGTGGGAAATGTAGTTTCCGGGCCGCTACCCGACGGCCAAAAGAACAGACGCAGGATGGCGCCCGAGCGTCGTGGCGGGTTCCGAGCTTCTGGATCCTTTCCCCCCGCCACCCCCAAACCCCCGTCCGGGCGCTGCCGGCGTAGGAGAGGCCGCGGAGGCCTGAAAGGTAGTTTCTCTTGGCAGCCGCGGCTCTGAGGCGTCTGGGGTGCAGGGTGAAGCGGCGGGGGCACGCTCTCTTCGGCGCGTACAGTTTAGCCGTTTGAAATCTAGTCCTGGGGAGGGGCCGCCCTGGCTCGGGGCGGATCCAAGCCCGGCCGACCCGGGCCCGGCGGAGGGAGGACTCGGTGAAGGTGGGAGCTGACCTAGGAGGCACCTGCTGTCCGAGGGACGTGAGCTCCTCGTGGCACGAGGGTTCTCGTCTGGGCTGGGCGAGCGGCCCGGCGCCTGGGAGACTCCTGCCCCGGCTGGGGGCCGACTTGGGATTCTGTGAGCAGGGGTTGTCCCGCCCCTCTCTGCGGCCGGGCCGGGCAGAACTGGTGAATCCGGGCGAGCCTGCCTGGGAGCCGCCCTGTCCGTCGAGTTAGGCCTCCGGGCTGAGATCTAGAAAGTTAGGATCTATTTCAGGCCTTATCAGAGACTCACTGACTTCTCTGAGCCTCAGTTTCCTGTTTCCAAAAAGGTAATGCCTGCTCTTTCTCCTGGGTGTGTTACAAGGTTCGATGGAAATGACATTGAGTGCTGTAGGCTGGACAGTCCTTGAAGGACATAAACAGGCATTCCCATTTGCTGTACATTGGTGCAACTTCTTGGAAGGAAATGAAGCAATGCCTTTCAAAATTAAATGCAAATAGGCTTTGCTTCAGCAGTTCTACAGGTTTCGTGGCCATGTGTGCACAAGAAAGTATATATGAGTACTTCAGCATTACTTGGAATGAAAAAAAAATTTCATAAAACAACCTAAATGTTCATCAGTAGATGACTACTTAAATAAAATAGTGGAGTCCATAGAATAGAACATGTATTGGGGCGCCTGGGTGCTCAGCCGGTTAAGTGTCTGCCTTCGGCTCAGGTCATGGTCTCAGGGTCCTGGGCTAGAGCCCCACGTCAAGCTCTCTGCTCAGCGGGGAGTCTGCTTTTCCCTCTCACTCTCCCTCTGTGCTCTCTCCCCGCTCAAATAAACAAAATCTTAAAGAAAAAGAATATGTATGACTATTTTAGAAATTAGGCAGAGCTTCCTGAATTGATAACTCTCTGTGCTATGAAAAAATTTTTCAAAGTGCAGAATGTTAATAGAGTATAATTTATGTTTTTAAAAGAATAAATATGGGCGCCTGGGTGGCTCAGTTGGTTAAGCGACTGCCTTCGGCTCAGGTCATGATCCTGGAGTCTCGGGATCGAGTCCCGCATCGGGCTCCCTGCTCGGCAGGGAGTCTCCTCCCTCTGACCCTGTCCCCTCTCATGTGCTCTCTCTCTCTCATTCTCTCTCTCAAATAAATAAAATCTTTAAAAATAAATAAATAAAAGAATAAATATATTTGATGACATAAGCATGGAATGTCTTTGGAGGGACTTGGAAGAAGCTGTAATGGTGGTTGCCTATGAAGGATTGGAAAATAAGATCAAAGGGACACATACTTCCCCCCCGCTTCAGCAATTTGCGTGAACTGTGTGTGTGTGTGTGTGTGTGTATTTCTTAATCATTACTCTGTATTTTTTCCAAGTAATCTCTACACCCAGTGTGGGGCTTGGACTCACCACCCTGAGATCGAGAGTCAGATACTCTACTGACTGAGCCAGCCAGGTCCCCCTGTCTGCATTTTTGATGCAGACAGTTTCCCCTCCAGTTTTTGTTTTCCCAGGTGCTGAATTCTTACTTCTCAGAGTCCTCCATAGATTCTGGTTAGCCCCGGAGCTCAGAGTTTGTGATAGGAACCCCCTTCCCAGCTGCAGAGGCTGCAGGAGGTCAGGGCCTAGCCTTGACTTCCCTCCTATCACCCTACCTGCCCCTAGCATGGCTTAGGACACTGAAAGGGCAGTCTGGGTGGGACTCAGGGCTGGCTGTAGGATGGCAGGCAGCCCCCCTGTTTGCTCAGAAGGGTGGACCAGCCAAGTGGACCAAGAATCAGACTGGCTTCTCTGGACCCTGCCTGTGACCCTAGGCATGTCACCCACAGATAGATACAAATGCTTCCTCTTCTAGAGAACACGTTGAGGGTGAATTTTATCAGTGTATGGAGGACATATATTGTTGAAATATCAAAGCAGGAAGGGGGGCACTTTGTTTCTTTCTGTAAAATAAAAGGATTAGACCAGGAAATCTCTTAAGACTGGAGGTGGAGTAATTTCTAAATGGCAAAGCCAGGGCTAGAACCCAGGCTGCCTGCCCGTTGGTACTCCAGGGCTAGAGCAGTGCTGGAGTCCCACCAGGGTCTGGATGAAAAGTGCCCTTAAAATGGGGCACGAGTTCTCCATCAACGAGAATGTTTGGTGCCAACTCCTACCTCTGTGTTGGCTTTGAAGGAAGGAGGGGACAGAAGTGACAAAGATGGGTCCACTTACTCTTCTTGGACACTAAAGCTGACCAAAAGGAACCTGTACCTAGAGGGGGAGGGCCCATCGAGGGGCCTGCTTCCTTGGCAGTGATGGGCTGGCTTGGAAAATCAGGCTCTGTTGCATTGTGGCCGGAGGAAGATTCTTGGGACCCAAAATGTGCTCAAGAACTGTCATCCAGTGTCCAAAATGAGCCTTAGCTTCTGGAACAGGCTTGGTCCTGTCAGATAGGCGTTGGCAGCTCCCACTTCCTCGTGGGTAACTCCCTTCAGCTGTCCCAACAGAGCCAAGCACCTGCTGCCCAGTGTAGGCTTACCTGCCCCCCCCGCCCCCTGCCAACCTGCCTGAGGGGCACGTGGGCAGCTAACATTTACCCAGGCCCTGCCCTAGGAGATGAGGGAGATAGCACTGGTCTCTCCTCTTCTCTTCCCCATTCTTCCACTCCACCCCAAACCCACCACTCCCCCAAACAGGCCTGTCACAAGACACCTGGGAGCTGAGAGGAGACCAGACAGGCTAGGAGAGACCAGACTCCTCGTGTAACCAGAGAAGGATCAGACTCACAGGCAGACAGCTTTATCATATAAGTGAAAATAATATGAAAATGTCTTTTATTTCTAAGTACAAAGCCAGGCACTATTAAAACTGTGAAAAACTGGCCAGAGACCGTAAAGGACAAAAAGGGGACTCTCTCTGGCCTGGTGTCCAGTGCTGGGGGGGGGGGCAGCAGCGAAAGATGGGCAGGTTGTGGAGTGTGGGAGGGAGGCCGACCTGCCAGCCCCTCCCCCCGGTCCCCCACCTGTGGGTCAGCTCTCCGCTCCTCAGAGCCTCCGGGTCTGGGGACTGAGGTTACTCTCGGCCTTTAAGGGCCACTGGGTCTCTGGCCGAGCAGACCCCAGCAATGAAGGGGGCAGGGGTGAGGCAGGGAGCAGAAGCCTTTCTGCACGGGGAAACTTTTATTCCGTGGCTGCAAGTGAATGTTGCCGGCAGCAACTGAGAATGAAGCAAGGTGTTCTTGCCCCCAAAGGTATCTTCAGTCTCTCGGTCACATCCCCATTATAGACAGAGAAGGTCTTGAGTCCTTGGAAAGGAGGACATGTCTGAGACTTAAGGCTGCGGCAGCCGAGGCTGTAGAGACGGAGTCTTGGGGCCACCTGGGGAGGAGCTAAAAGGAATGTGGACAGGTCGGCAGGCGTGAAGGGTGCTCATCCCAGGAGCTGTGTGCAGTCCCCTCTATTTGTGTCTGGGGGCCAGGGGCATGTGTGAGGGCTCAGGCCTCGCCCTCCTCCCCACTGCCATCCACACTGGCCTGCCTCACCACCTTCCCCCGGAGCCTGCGTGTGGAGGCACAGCAAGCACCCCCCTGCTCCTGGAAGGCCTGGGTCTGGCTGGCCACCAGGGCGGCGCTGTTGAGGGCGACCACGGACTGGCGGGACTTCAGAGCAGGCCAAGGTCCCTTGCGGCCCCGCCCGCCTCCCTTGGCCTTTGAGAGCTGAGGGAGGGGCTCTGGAGGGTCTTCCTCTGAAGACTCATTCGAAGAAAACACCTGGCAGGGTCAGAGTAGAAGAAGAATCACTGAGAAGTCTTTCCAGGGCAGGGGCACTGAGCACAGAGTCTGGAAAGGGGCAAGTGTGGACTGGTAAGTGAATGCAGAGAAACTGGGCTACTCAGGGGTCACATTTCCACAGGAGAGAAGCCAACACCCCGGCCCCACCGTCCCTGCTCCTCGGCCTTCACCTGTCTGCAACCTCCTAGCCCCACGGGCCCTCCTGAGCTTCCCTGCACCTGCCACATCCTTGAGGCCCCCTGCTCCTCCTCTTGCCCCCTCTGCCTTTGTACAGTCAGTCCTGAGAGCCTTCCAGGAGCTGGGCTCTGAGCCGGGAGCCAAATGAAGACACTCTGCCTTTAGAAACATCCACACTAACCCATCAACCATCCATACCCAGTGCCACCTCCTCCAGGAAGCCTCTCCCAAGCATTCTGGCCCTCCCAGACGAGCTCTGGCCTCAAGTCTCGCGCGCGTGCGTGCGTGTGTGTGTGTGTGTGTGTAGAGCAGGGTGGCGTCTGACTTCCTAAGGCAAAGGCCAGCCTCTGCTCTGCTCATGCCCTGCAGCACTTAGCACGGAGATGATGCTCAACTGCTCAGGCCAGTACTTGGTTTTGTGGGTGCCATGACCCCTCTGCACCCCATCCTCTGATGTGTCGCCTGTCCCCCAGACTTGGGAGGGGCTGCAGAGATCATCTCGTCCACCTCATCTAGGGTCAGCAGTTGGTCGTCCAGCTCCTGGCCTGTGGAGGACGGCTGGGCAGCCCTGCCCCTTAGCAAGCACGTCCTTTCATCAGGCTGAGCGGTGCCCACAGCCTCCAGCCCAGGGCTGGCTCGGCCCAGAAGCCCCCGTGGATGCCCCCGGCCCCGTGGCTGCTCTCCAGGTCCCATGAAGGGCAGCGCTCACTGGCCCCCACTGGGTCTCCTTGGCCGCTTTGAGGGGATGAAACGGAGCCGCCCAGGGAGTGGTCCCCATGGGAAGCCGAGTACCCGTCCTGATCTCTCTCCTTCCTCCCATCTGCCCCTCCTACTTTTGTCCCCCACTGTGCCTCAGCCTGGGCTCCTTCCCTGACCCCAGCCTCACCTCTGGCAGGTCACTGGCCCCTGAGGTGCCTTCCAGCTCCGAGGCAGGCTCCAGGAGGCTGATGGACCTCATGACCCCTCGGAGGTTGATACGGGGCCGTGGTCCAGGCTTTTCTGTCAGGGCTGCCTGGCTCTCCTCCAAACCCATAGTGTCCATCTCCCCTCTGCCCCCTGGCTCTGGCGGAAGCGGTGGGGACGGTGTAGAGACATCAGGGGCGAGGGGCTCCTCTGGGGAGGCCCCACCCGCTTTCTGCTCCCAGAGATGGCTCTGCCGGCTGTAAGGAGGTAGCCCTGAGTCAGCTTTGAGTGACCCAGCAGCGCCCCCCAGCCTCGACACCCACCAACTTGCTTCCCCTCGTCTCCCCCTCGAACCTGGCGGTCAGGATGCCCTGGTAGGTCTGCAGCTGGCGCAGAAAGCCAGGGTTGGGGCGGGCGATGGGCCGGAGCTCCTGAACGTGGCGCAGGGCCTGCTCCAGGCTCCAGCCGTACTGCTTCATGGCATAAGCGACCACCGTGGCAGCTGAGCGGCTGACGCCCATCTTGCAGTGTACCAGCACCCGGGTGCCCTGGGCTCTGTGGAGGCAGCACGGTCAGCTCCCCAACCCGCCCCCCGTCAGTGTGGGGGGAAGGGCGGGTAGTGCTCCACCCAGAGCAGAGGAGGCGGGCAGGGCCAGAAGGAGTCCTAGAGCTGAAGGCAAAGCCGGCGGGATGAAGCTGGGGTGGGGGTGAGCCGCGGGGGCCGGGGGCACCCCACCTAGCGGCCTCCACGAAGCGGTGTGTCTCCTTCCAGTGGGGTAGCAGCTGGGCTGACTCCTCGTCCCAGAGGCGCACGTTGTGGTAGACGAAGCGCTCCGGGTAGAAGTTGTCGATCTCGCGGGCCATGTTCAAGATGTGGCTGACCCTGCAGCGGAGGGCGGGAGGCCTGGCCGATGTGGCTGGTGGGGGGGACGTGAGGCCCATCGGCCAGCAGACCCGGCAGAGCCTGGCTGGTTCGGAGAGTCGGGCGGGGGCGGCGGCGGGGGGGGGGGAGATGGCCGTGACCCTGAGCGAATCCTGTCGCCCTGCCAGGCGGGAGTTGCCCCCTCTGGTCCAGCCAGCGGCGCGGCTGACTGCAGTGCTAAGCCTTCTAGTGTAAGTCAGTCAGAGAACAGCTTTGAGCGAAGCTGAGACCATGTGGATCTGCGGCAGCAGCTGGGGTGACAGGGGCCACAGCGGGTTTCCTGGAAGCCCACGGTGGACAAATGGCAGGAACCTAGGAGAGCAGGCGGCCAGGTCCCCCGAGAGAGGGGCACGGGCTTCTCCCTTACGACGCGGTCAGTGGAGAGGAGCTTTCCTGCTTGGGACAGGCCGCCAGGATGCCCGCGGCTGCCCCTCTTCTCCATGAGACCGAGGCCTGGGTCTGGGCCTTGCCTTACAGCGTGGGGAGGGCGTGGGGAGGGCGAGTGGGCCCGGGGAGGCCTTGCAGGGGGAGCAGCCCCAGAGGCGGGACGGGAAGCGGAGCTAGCAGCCCTTCAGGGGGGCCTGGGGGCTTCTGGCCAGGTTGCCCCTTGGGGGGAGGCCAAGTGAAGCGGGGAGACAGGGTGGGCAGTCCTGAGGGGCTCAGAGCCCTACCTGTTTCTCTGTAGCTCCTCCAGGTTCGCCGCATTCCACTCTGAGCCCTGCGGAGGGAGGGGAGCATCATCCTCCGTCCCCCCAGCTGCAGCGCCCTCACGCCCCCCCCCACCCCTCTCGCTGCTGCTCACCAGGTAGAGGTGGGGGAAGATGCGGGAGGCGCGGTCTTGCTGGGCCATGAGCAACAGCATCTGGTTGTCGATGAAGTCACGGTACTGTTGCAGCGGCCGGCCCAGGCGCAACTCCAGGGCCTGGCGGATCTGCAGGCAGAGCCACAGGGGCGCCGAGGCTCAGGGGGTCCCTTGCAAGTGTCCTGATGCCCGACCCTTCCCTCTGGGGCCTCAGAGGGCGCACCCGTCCCACCTGGACAGAGGAGCTGAGCCAGGCATGGGGGCCTGGCTCAGGGCAGGAGGCAAGCAAGGTGGGAAGAAAGAGAGGAAAGCTCTGCCCCAGTTGGAGGACCATCCTCCCCGCCCCCTCCCCACTCCCCGGTTCCCCGCCCGGGGCCCAGCTCCCTCCTCACCCCTGCTCCTCCCCAGCACCAGCCCACCTCTTTGGGTTTTCTGTGTTTTTGGTTGTTTTTTTTTTTTTTAAAGTAAGCTCCACGCCCAAGGTGGGGCTTGAACTCATGACCCCGAGATCAAGAGTCACCTGCTCTACTGACTGAGCCACCAGGCACCCCCCAGCCCACCTCTTTGGAAGTGACGCTCTCCAGGTCACTGGTGTCCAGCACATCCCACAGCTCAGCCCGGATCGCCTGCTCCATCTGCTCCTGTTCTGAGGGCCTGGGAGCCGAGCCCGTCAGTCCAGGGAGCCCTTCCCCACTCTGCCGCGACACCCTCCCTCTCCGCCCCTCCCTGCACTGACCGGCCAGGCTCGGCGCTGGGAGGCCGCAGAGACTCCAGGTCGGCCATGGCCATCCACTCGTTGAGGCAGCTCTGGTCGGAGCTCAGTCTCTCCTGGTAGTGTCCAGCCCAGGTCAGGGCACTGCCCCCCGGCACGAGGCCACTGCCGAGAGCTCCCTCACACGCCTGGTGCAGCACCTGGAGCGTGGCCCTAGGACGGGGGAGAGGCTGGATCACACTGTCCTCCCTGCCACCCCTCCCCAGCCCCTCAGCTATCTCTGAGAAGAGGATGGGCCACCCTAACCCTTACCACATGGTCTGGATGGAGATCGGCTTGAAGATTCGGCTCTGCCCACCAGACGTCACGCTGAAGCCCCTGAGGGAGATCGGGCGGGGGTAGAACCCAACTCCAGGCTCTGGCACAGAGCCCCTGAGAGGCCAATCCACTAGCGACCTCGTGAGGCCGGTCCACAGAATGTATACACATCCCTGGGCTTCAAGAGAAGCCCCATTTGCCAGACATGGGGTAGCTAAGGCCCAGAGAAGCTAGGTGACTTGCCTAGGCTCACACAGCAAACCTGAGGTAGAGCTGAGTAGGCGCAGGCGCCAGATGCCCAGCACGGCATTCTCCCACCGCTCCCCAGGGCCCATCGGCCCCATCACAGACATCGCCCTGCTGGCCCCGCCCCTCCCCCCTCCTCCCCCTAGTTGTCGCCTCCTACCCGTCTCCATCTAGGTACACCTGGGTGTCACTCCACAGAGGCAAGACCAGGCCCAGGGTGCAGCAGGGGGAACTGGCAGGGGACAGAAGAAAAGCCATTGTCCCCCAGCATCTCACCCCCTTGCCCCCACCCCCCTCCCTCTCCCTGCTCCCACCTGCTGTCGGGGAAGTCCACCCCCAGGAGGACCATCTCATCCCGGCTCAGGTGTTCTCGTGTGGAAACTACCAGCAGGTAGCGGAGCCGGGGGGGCCGGGCTGCCTCCAGCTGGGCTGCCTGGGGGAGAGGAGGAGGGAGAAGCCCAGGGTCACGGTGGCCCCAGAAGACCCTGCACCCCCCCCACCCCCGCCTGGCACAGTCCTTTTCCTAGAACAGACCTGCTGCCCACCCTCCTCTTCTCAGACACCCGATTGGTGGTTATAATCTGATGGTTTCCCACTTTTGGATTTCATGGTCCCACAAAATGTTTAAGAAGACTTTTCTTAAAGTGGCCATGTGTGGAAAAAAGGGGAGAATGGGCCTGACACAGATTGCCCGTCTTCACTTTCTGCCTAGGAAGGAGGCTTAGAAAAAACCTTTGCACTTGCCATCACTATCATGCGATTCAAGAAAGGTTTCTCACCCAAGATATACTAAGGACGCGATCCCACAATGAAGGATGGTTATTTCCGTGGAATAAATTCAGCTCTAGAGAGACCTCCTGCTTTTGTTTTTCCCATCTTGCGGCAGACAAGGAGGTGCCCCACGGACACCCGGGAGCAGGTCCTCAAGCTCTCACCTGTGCCCCATGGCGCCTGGGCCCCCTCCGGCTCAGCAAGCCCTCCTGAGCGCCAGGCCAGGCCTTCAGTAGGCAGACAGCTCGCGGGGGCAGGAAGGGCTTGCACGGGTTGCACAGAACCCCGTCTCTGGGTAATGGCCAGCTCTTGGCCCTAATCTGGCCCTATGGGCTCAAGCAGGACAGACCTCCCGCCACCGTTTCCCACACCGCCAGAGCCCTGAAGACTTGACTGTGCCCTGTCAAAAGGACTAGCTGAGCCGGCAGGCTCACCAGGGTTTGGGGGTTCCTATTACTGCTCCCCACTCAGACACACAGGCTAGCTCTCTTCCACCCTCCCCCCCCCAACCCAAGGGCGGGCTCTCCCCCCTTCTCAGGGGGCTCTGGGCCGCCCCTCACCAGGCGGATGTCGTCCTGCGGCCTCAGCAGCTCCACCATGAGATGCAGGTGCTGGCTCTGCTCCTGCTTCCTGGGGCTCTGGGGCCCATGCCCGTCATCCGTCTGGTCCCCGTGGGGCCGTTCTTCACCCGGGGGTCTCTCCACCGCCTCGGGGCCGGCCTCAGCGGCTTCTCCCTCGTCCTCCCCATCCTGCAGTCTCAGGACAGCCCCGCGGAGGACTGCGAAGCTCTGCCTGGCGGGGCAGCAGGGAAGCCATCAGGGTCCCTCATACCCCTCAGGACAGGTGCATCCGAATCACCCACCAGGCTTGTTAAAACAGGGGTTGGGCCCCATCCCTGGAGAGTCAGTAGGTCTGGAGTGGAAGCCTGAGAATGTGCATTTCTAACCGGTTCCCAAGTGCTGAGGCCACCCCATTTGGGGAACTACAGTCTCAGAGGCTCTCAAGCCCTCAACCCACTTGTCTAAGGGTTGGGGGTGGGCAAGAGTTGCTCCCTTTCCTTCGCACCTGCCTAACTCAGGAGATGCTGTAAACTTGGTGGGGACCCAGGAGTCCTCGGGCCCTGTTGTCTCAACCTGCCCTTTGGTTTGTGACTACTGGCCTGAGCCAGGGTCCACGATGGTGGTGACCGGGGGGAAGATGGAAGCAAAGGCAGCCAAGTCAGTGCTGCAAGCCAACTGCGCCCGCCAGCCGTGCCCACTGGCAACACTGCCCCACAGATTCAGGAGTTGGCTTTGGCTGTGAGTCCTCCAGGGTGGCAGTGGCCGGGCCTGGCGGCTGGATGTGGGTGTCTGTGTTGGGGAGAGGTGCTCACCTTCGCTGGAGCCGGCTTCCCTGCTTGGATGCCTGGTCCTGCTGAGAAAGTGGCCCCCAGGGCAGAGTGAGGCGGGCAGTGGCAAGGACTCTCCTCTCTGCTCTCAGGGCGCGATCGCTCCCCGCCCCCCCCCCCAACTAGGGACTGGAACCAGGAAAGGTGTCAGGTCCCTTCCCACCCCAGTCCACTCCCCACCCGGAGGCACTGGGGGAGCCTGGGCCCAGGTCCAGGTAGGGCAGCGTGGGGTGAGAGTGGGTGGGGGTGCTGGAGGTGTCCAAGGGGTTGGCCCAGATCTGAGCCTGGAAGTGGGTAGGGCCTCTGCAGTCTGGGCTGGCACTTCGGGGTTCCAGATCTTTGGTCTGAGTTCCTGGAAGCCTCAAGACCCCCTCCCAATCCCCTCCAGCGTGATACTTGGGGTCCCCCTCCCCGCACTCCCAGGCTCAAGGGGAGACTGGCCGTGGGCAGGACGCGCTCCCCCAGGCCCAGCTGGCAGCCAACTGCGTGGGCCGGACCACGGCAAAGCCAGACTTACCGTGGGCCCCACAGGCGTGGAGTGGCCGCTGGCCGGGGGGGAGCGGCTCACGGTGACCAGGGCCATGGGTCCTGGCCGGGGACACCTGGGCCGGTCCGGGCACTTTGCCCTCCCACAGCTCTACGGACAGTCCCTGCCCCGCAGGACCAGGAAGGAGAGACCGGAGCCACCAGGGCCTGGCACCTCCTCGGGGGCGGCCCTTAAAGGGCCAGACACTCGTCCAGCCGGGCCTGCAGAGCCAGCGCGGAGCGGCCGCCGCCCCTCCCTTCGCGTCTCCTCCGGTTCGGCCGCCTCGCCCCCGCCCCCGGATACGTTGGGGGTGGACCCGAGGCGGGGCGCAGGTGCGGAGCGCGGCCGGGAGGGAAGTGTCCAGAGGTCCTGCAATTTGCAGCCTTCGTTCCCGGGTTGGGTCCCTCCTCCCGGGAGGCGCCCCTGCCCCTGCCCTGCCGGCTCCGCCCACTTAGGTCACCTGAGTTCTGCTTTGGACCTCAACCGTGCTATTACCTGGAAGAGATGGGACCTAGGGAGCCAGGACTGGGGACACAGGTCTTGGAGAGGATCAGACACAGTCTTAAGCTGGGGGGCACCCCAAAATTATTTCTCCTTGCTGATTGGCCCTCCTGCTTCCACTCTCTGCACGAATCATTGGGAGACATGCAGAGCTTCAGGGGAAATCAGGCGGGATTTAGAACTGACCCTTGTGGCTCACAGGGGACCCTCAGGGCCACCTTGGAGGTGAGCAGGGCAGAGCTGCAGCAGAGGGAAGTGACTTGTCCAAAATCACTGGGATAGAACATGCTGGGGTCAGTGCAGGAATCCAGGCCTGGGGTGCAGGGGGCTCCTCCCAGCTAGCTGGGAGTAGTCTGGAGGCCCAGCCTTTCTCCCTCTTGGACAGGAGCACAGGTGGGTTCTGGTAAAGACCCAGCGAGTCACAGGAGGACTCCAGGGAATTGATGTTAATGGAGCACCTACTCTGTAAGGGACTTGACATACGTGGGTTCACTTCGCCCTCCCAACAGCCCTGGGGAGCGGGAGGCGGTCTCATTTTACAGCTGAGGAAACCGAGGCTCAGAGAAACTGAAAGGGCCACAGCCAGGATTCAAACCCAGGTCTGCAGCCATTGTCCACAGCGTCTGCCCTCCATGTCACCTCCCCAGCTTGTCTCCCCATTGAGCAGAATAAGCCTGCTGCTGAAAGTCTCTTTATTTCCACCTAGGTCTCCAACACAAGTCCACCGCCAGGGCTCCAGGCCCCAAGCTTAGCAGCAGAGAGTTTATAAATAAATAAGTAACAAAAGCAGGTGGGGCAGCAGCCCAGACAGCTCCCCCCCCCCCCCGCCCCGGGGGGCCGGGTGCTCAGTGCTCCGTGAGCGAGAGCTGCAGGATCCTCCGCAAGTCCTCCTCCTCCTGCTGCCCCTGGCGTTCCTGCTCCGCGTGCTCCCTCGAAGACAACTCCAGGGCCAGGCGAAGTTGCTCCTCAAAGCTTGGCGGGGCTGGGGTCGGGGCTGTCCTGTGAGGGGATTCTGGGCCGCTGGGCTCTGTGGACATCCGCAGGCTTTCTTGGAGGGCCCTTCCAGACAAGGCGCGAGAGGAAGGGCAGGGCAGTGAGTGCTCAGGCAGGGGAAGAAGGCTAAGGGCCAGATCGTGGCCATGGAGGACAAGGGCAAGGACGGGGCGGCTGGCACCCGGAAGACCGGAGAGAAGACACCGGGCGAGGGCCCTGCCTCCTCCATCCTCGTGCTGCCTTCGGTGGCTGGCAGCACTGCTTATGGAGGGTGGCCTTGGAGAGGGCATGGGATCCCGGGACTAGTGCCTCCCCACTACCCACCACCACCAGCCAAGGACCCCCCGGCTGGCAGGGTCCTCGGGGCAGGGCAGGCTGAGACACGGTCCTAGTAGGTCCTAGAGGGCCTCACCGCTCCAGCTGAAGCTGCTCCTCGTAAGCGGTGGCCTGGGGAAGAGGGTGGGCACCAGGCCGGGTGTTGGTCAGGGCTTCCCAGACTGTTACCTGCAGCAGACGAAGCCCGGAGCTGTCACGCCTGCCACCCCTGCCAGCACCCAGGCGGGGCCGGCCCCGGCCCGCGTCCCACCTGCTCGGCCTCCGCGCCCGCCTCCAGCAGGCTCTGCTGGATGGCAAACTGCAGCAGGTCGTCATCCTCATCACGAAGGGGCTCACTGCGCTCTGTGCCCAGCACGCTGTACCCCTCAGGCACCTCAAACACGGCGGGGTCCACCTCGCACGGGAAAGGGCTCCCTGCGCAGGAGAAGGGCTGCACTCAGCCCCAGGGCTCAGGGCCCAGGGAGTGGCGCGGCCCCACCTCCCTGCCGCGGAGGTACCTGATGCTGGGCCGCCAGAGCCCGAGCCGGGGGCCGGCACCCACACTGAGCTCAGGGGCTCGTCACAGCCACACAGGTTGCTGAAGGTGATGCGGGCGTTGAGCACGTGGAAAAGGGGAATCTCTGTGGGGAGACAGTGAGCCTGAGCCACCGGGGCCAGCAGCCGGCCCCTCTGTCCCCAGGAGCTGCCCAATGGCCCTTGGTGCCCTAGGCCACCCCTCACCAATCTTGACTGGGAAGCCGGGGGGAAGGCGCAGGGTGATGAAGTCACGCAGCTTGGCAAAGTGAGCGTTGCTGATAGCCATCAGGTCAATGATGGGCGTCACCTGGTCACCCAGGGAGAGCGGGTGCTCCTCACTCAGCCAGAGCGTGGCCTTGAACCTGCACAGGACGTGAGTCAAGGAACCTCTGGTGGCCCCTCTGTTAAGACCCGCCCAGCCTGGACACCTGCCTTTACTCACGCTCTCTGCCAAGCCTGCATTGCCCTCTCGTCTGCTCAGCTGTCCCCACCTGCCTTCCCCAGGAGCGTACGTCCTTTCGGCCCTACTGCCCGAGCTGCCCCCCGCCCCCCCGGACCCTGGGCCCAGGCTGGGGCCTACGGTAGCCTCAACTCATCTGGATGAGGAGTCTACCTGTGGTCCCTGGGACAGTGCTGGGCCCATCATAAGCCCTATGTCATGGCTCATCAGATCCTCCTAGTGCCCTTGTGAGCAGGGGGACAAGTGTGACTGTTATTTTACTGAGGAGAACAGACTCTCGGAGGGGGAGACATTTCCTGGGGCCACAGGGTCAGAAGACGGTAGAGCTGTGAGCCCTTCCCCTTTGCCACAAACTGGCCTCCAGCAGGTGCTCATTCAACTGAACAGAAAACCATAAATGGGCGGTGCTGCCCATTCATTCATTCACCAGAGAAGAGTAACCAGTCCTCTGGGCCAAGCCCCAGAGCTGGTGCCAATAACCACGGATAAGACAGACCTGGCTCCTGTCCCTAAGGAGGAGAATCTAGCAGGAAGCCAGCTGGGTGAATGGGTCCCCCACTACGGTGGGCCCCATGTGTGATAGGAGTCTGCAAGCGCTCAGAGGGACTAGGCAGGGTCCCCGTCCCTGAGGGAAGTCCCAAAGCCAGTTCCAAGACCTCACCTCTGTACTTTGCTGGACATCTCAATGGGGCGGCCAATGTTCCTCGACTCCAGGCTGAAGTTGGGATCGAAGTATTCACTGGGGGAAATGGCTGTGGGGTTGGTGGGGCTGGCGGCCTGCTGCACAGGAGCCTGGGAGGGCCCCATGAACAGACTTAAGTGTTCAGAAGGGTGCCTGCCTGGCCCTGCCCAGCGGCCCCCTGCCCGTGACCCCCACACCTGGGGGCCTGGCTCACCCCGCTGTGGGAGGAGTGCTGCTGGGCCATCCCGAGGAAGGACTGGAATGGAGTCTTCCCTCCTAAGGAGAAAGGGTGGGAGCCCATGAGGAGACTTTGGGCCACTGCCCCCAGACTGCCCCCCCCATCCACTCTGGGAGCCTCCTGTCAGGGTGGGAGACAGAACACATGGGAATGGGGAGGCCTCCCAGCTTGTCCCAGACGTTGTGGCCCTAACCCCAGACCAGGATGACCCCAGCATATGGTGTGACTGGGCAGCAGGCAGGCGCACCTCGGTTTACCTTTGCTCCTCGACTTGTCCTGATCAGACAGGTGCTCCGTGCGAGTGCGTGTCACCAGCTCCACATTGGTGGCACTGTATACCTGGGGAGCAGGGGGGGACACGGGGGGGAGCTGAGGGCTCAGAGCCTGTTTCCCACACTCAGCCTCACCAGTACAGGACCCACGTCCTCCTCTCTGCAGGGACAGACAGGATCTCGCCCCCCACCGTGGAGGAGGTGGCGGGGTCTGAACCGTGGGGGCTCAGTCATGAGGGGAAAGCACTCCTCGTGTCATCTCGGTAACCGGGTCGGGGCCCATGCTGGGGTGGTCCCTATGTGCTTGGCGGGGCCTGGGCACTCGGGCCCCCCTGAGTTCCCATGGCCGCACGGGGCTTCCAGAGCCCACGGGCTACTCTGTCTCTCCTCCACATGGGTGGATGTGGAGAAGCAGTGCAGTTCCTGGGCCTCGCCTCCTACCCCAGCCCCCACCACTAGCCTCTCCTGCCTTGGCCTCGTAGCCGCTAACGGTTTCCATCTTCTCAGACCGCCAGCCCCAGATACCACATTTGTTCCTGAAACAGACCAAACAGGAGCTCATGAGGATCCGGACCCCTCGACCCTAGCCAGAGCCTTCCCTTCCAGAGACCCCTTCCAATTCGCCTTCCCACTGTGAAACGCAAGGGCCTTGAAGAGGATGCCTGGACAGCTGGGGACAATCAAACAGGCACTGGGGACTAAAAAGTACCGAGGAATTATCATTAATTTGTTAGGTGTGATAATGGTGTTGGGGCTGGTTTTATAAACATCCTTATCTGTTAGAGTCATGTGCAGAGGCATTTACTGTTAAAGTGATACGACATCTGGGATGTGCTTTAAAATGGTCCAGGAAGGGGCGCCTGGATGGCTCAGTTGGTTAAGTGTCTGACTTCGGCTCAGGTCATGATCCCGGGGTCCTAGGATCAAGCCCTGCTCAGTGGGGGGTCCGCTCGTCCCTCTCCCTCTGCCCCTCCCCCCACTTGTGCGCTCTCTCATTCTCTCTCTCAAATAAATAAAATCTTAAAAAAAAAAACAAAAACTTTGGGGGCGCCTGGGTGG